GCGACGATCCGATCGTCCGACGAAGTCCAACGGAATCTGGACGAGGAGCGCGCAGATCGAGTTGCCGACAAGTTTTTAGCGATCGCGGGGAAACGTCGACGTTTATTCCGCCGCGGTGAGACTCGGTCGAACGCAAACTTTCCTCATCGACAAATCGATTTACGTTGGAGAACGGGGAGAAAAGTTGCGGGAAAACAAGGGAGCAGGGTGAAGGGAAGTCGAAATGTCGGAGAGAATCGCATTACCTTCGGGGTTATTTCGTCCAGTGAACGCGACTCTTCGGCCGAACGATTTAGGTCGCTCGGGGAGCAAAGGGAAAAAGAGATAGAGAGACACGCGTGTCTGCGATTCAGCGAGAAACGCGGCACGTCGCTGCATCGTCGGATGCGTTCCGATAAAACGTGACTCGTTCTTCGCCGCTGTTTCGCGTGTGCTACATTTCTTGAAAACGCGTCGTGACACGGAACGAGAGGATCGCTGTCTCGGAAGGCCAAACTTTCGAACGAAAGAGCAAGACAGAGGGAAAAAGTTTCGCGAAAGCATCGGCGAGAGAGCTCGAGGTTTGAGACTTCGATTCCTAACCGATGAAAAGTTTCGCTCCGATACGAAACACGATTTCAAAGGGAACCGCGGCACACATTCTTCGTCTTTAGCGAACAGGGAATTAACGAACGAGGGGATTACCGTGGGACGTTTCGAAATGGTTGACGCTGGGAAAACGGCGTGAAAGCGTTGCGTCGTCGGGAAAACGATCTCTGGTCGATAAAGCGCTTAATCGCTTCCGCTAGTCGTCGATTAGTCCGCCACGATACCCTGCGCGTTCGCGGGGTAATCGCAGCTTGTCCTGCCATTCGGTTTTCTTCTATTCTTCGTAAAGTCGACCTTTAACCGGACGAGCGCGGCAGGAGCGGAGGGAGAGTTAAATAAACGCGGGGAATCGGGGCCACGATTTAAAATTTTCAGATAGTGAAATTAAGTGTGGTGTTACGTAACGGAGCAAAAGGGGAGGGGGAATGAGAGGGAAAATTAAAAGTCGAGAGCCCGAGCAAAAATATACGAGTCCGCCCGCTAAATCCACTTAATTCCTGCTACTCCAATAAGTGTCACGTGAGCGTATCCAAGTGGAGGAATGGTCCGGATGGAAGGGGTGAAAAGACACGCTCGCTTTTGTCCACGGAGAAATTTCTTTGTCGATATCGGAGAGCCATTGGACCGAGTCAGATTAATAGCTGTTCTCTCTTTCTCTTCCTTTTCTCTTCTGGATCTCGAGAACGGAGCAAAAGGATGAGCCGATTCGACTCACGTAATGCTCGTTACGCGTCGGCCGATATTAACGAGCGTCGAGGAAAACGGAACTTTCGTGCCTTCCAAAACGCGAATCGGAAGCGGACGTATCGTACCGAGAATAGACGAGTCTCGTGCGATCCGTTTCTGCCTTCCACGGCCTCCGGGACCACATCGCGCGATCCGAGAAATCGATCGGTTAGCCAACGGTTGCTCCTATCCTTCACCCAGCTCTTTCTTCCTCTTAACCTCCGAGCTTTTCCTCCGCCTTTCCGACTTTACACCGCGTGGCTCTTCCTTCAGTCACGATAGATGGCGGCGATCTCGCTCCTTCTCTCTCTCTCTCTCTCTCTCTCTCTCTTCCTAGTCTCGTCCCGATTCGTCAAACATTTATTCGGCACGATAAAGGCGACCTCGTTCCACCTGTACGGGGACAACGCGCATCCACCTCGTCGACGTATATCGAAACGTATCGCGAACTTTATGCTTTTCCACCCCGTCGTTCCTTCGCCCTTTTTACTCCGTCCATTCCAACTGGTTCGATGAAATACTTTTATAGACGACGTGGAATAAAATTCGGAAAGGGAAATTGAATAGAGGCTTCTTACGTTCAAAGCTGGGTGCCGTCTCGGCCGTGGACGAGCCATCTCTTCAACGAACAAGCGCGCGACTCGGTTTTGCATTCCGCATGGTGATCGGCCGCGTCACCGCGGTCGAATTCCAGGTCTCTATTCTTGCTCGCGGGTTCTAGAACACGCGCTGATATCGTACGTAACCTGACATTTTGTCCGAGGGTCGAGGAAGCTATGGAAACGACGATTAATCGACCAGAGTTTTATATTCACGAAACGTTGCTCGGTCAACGCTCCAACGAAACAAAATCGCCATAATTAATATCGATGATGTCGAAGTGGTCACCGCTTCTAAGAAAACTCTACATCTGGTCTGTTTAGTCTTCTCAAGCGCCGAAGCTATCGACAGCGTATAGACGAAAGACTGCGACGAAGACAGACCGTAAACGGTAGACAGGCGACGTTGGCTTCGGGGTTTTCAGTTATCGGGTAACACAGCTAGCGTGCGGATCTGGACCAGTTGAAATTGTATTCTTACTTAGAATTACGCTTCTATTTAAGCATATTTTCTACCTTAAAATTTATCCGCGAGTTTCTACACGTCAAATAACCTCGACAGATAAAATTTGAGAAACGTATATAAACGAAAGGTAGAAACCGAAGAAATTTTGTAACTCAGAAGTTTCGTAAATATCCCGATACTCATGAACCGATGGTTACACGAGGAACCGGTAATGGCTGACTTTTACGTTTATCGCGTGACACGAAACGCTTCGATATTCGAACACTCTCCTAGTTTATCGTCGCCTGGTCGCATTTGTATGCGTACGCGAATATTCTACCTTTTCTCCTTTGAACGAGACTCGCAAAAACGCAAATTCTCCGCACTGCCGGTGATATTGGTTTCGTTGTTCGTTCAGTATCAGAGTAAACGAACGTCTTTACGATCAGCCAGCCAATTTCTCGTCAACTTGCAGCCACTTGTTACGACTCTGTATGCGCATAAACGACGCTTACGATCTCCCAGTCGTTATCCTTGCGTGACTCGCAGAAGAATCGAGGAATTATTTGACCAGAGCTTTAAATATATTACACGTTGGCTCAGTGTTGCGACAAATCGTTTCAAACGGATTTCATAAACACGCGATACCGATCGATTAATCTTTCCTTTGCGAATCTGTTACACGGGACTGGTAGACGTTCTGTCACGCGGCTCAGCTTCTCGGTAGACAAACCAGCGAACTCTAGTTTTCGTTAATTTCTCAGTTTCGTTACACAGGTACGCTGTTGTCGATGTTTCCCACGAGTTGATTTATTACAAGTGGATGGCACGCAAGTAACAGCAAGTCTCGAGGCAAATTTAAAAAATAGCGTTTGTAACGTGGTCGCTTCTTTATGCTTTTCATTATATTTCCGAGTGGTTCGCTTATAAACGCCGGTGTACGTAACGTAAAAAGTTCCAGCTAAAAACATAATCCAAAAGTAAACTTGTTAAATAAAACAATAACATGGTAGTGAGTCGCGTCATTTTCGTATCCAGCAAACCTTCGTTACTTTCCCACCGACTGAACTCAATTTCGCGACACGTCGACAGCCGTGAGAGAAAAAAGAGAAGCATTCGCGAAATGTTTACCTTAGATCGGACCACCGACGCATGTTCGCGGAGGTAATTGCGCGCGTTTCAGCGCATTGCGTAATACAAAAATACGTCTATACGCGCGTACAGATACGCTGGATATTGAAGTTGGATACGAGATAAAAGAGCCGAGTAACTGCTTGCTCTTTCCTTCTGTACTTTTACCGGTCGCTCGTAAGTGGAATTTCCGTCGATGTCGCTCGCTTTGTTAGTTCTCGTAACGGGGGCATCGCCATGCGCGAATCGTTGCTTCTCTTCCTTCTGGATCTCGTTGATTCGTCTTCGTCCTGTCTTCGAGAAGAGCGAGAGCGAGAGCGAGAGACAGTCGGACAGAGAGAACCGTGGTCGAGATCACGGGAAGGTTAATCGCGCTCCGATCGAGCATGAGCGTCGAGCGGAATTGTACAAAGATAATCCGTAAAGTAGAAGGCGGAGAAGATGCGGACAGCGGATGTCGCGCGCGTGGTACGTGGCAATACGATGATCAGATACCAAAGTCGGAACAAGAGTGCGCGACGTTGCGGCACACAGGAGAGCTTTCAACTCACGTCAACTTTAACGCCCTCGACGCGATAGCTGTGCTTCGTAGGTTCCCCTCTAGGCACGTATCTGTAGAATTCCTCGTGATCCTTGTACCACGTGATGGAGTAAAGCTTGTCCGCTTCTAGGTCGTATCTGAAACAAGAGAGCAAACGATGCGTGACTTATCGTTAAGAAAAGCGCCGGTTGAATAGTTTCTCGACCATTTGTTTATCCATTTGTTTGCGTCCGGGGTTTCGCGCGCGTGACAATACGCAAGAGTGAGAAGTTTCTTTCTAATAAAGAACGGTACAAAGTTGTTGGGCGAGCTGGAATATTCAGGCCCGTTCGGGACGCTCGATCGCGAAGAATTCACACGTTTAATGTTGTAATAGGAATGCGTTCAAACGCGTTTCGCGAACGAGAGCTTGCATATTACTTTGCATGTAATCTTCACTCTCTGCAAACGCAAGGTTCTGATCGATTAATCGCTTCCTGGTATCGATTCTTGAATTTTCTGAGAAATGTTCGATGCGCCGGTGCTATTATACGTATATGTACGTTCTGTGTCTTTGTATATAGAAGAGGTTCTTCTTGCATGTATAGTTGTGTCATCGCATCGTATTTCAATTATTTCTATCAAGATTACTGGATATGAAACAGAATGGCCATTAAACAAATAAATAAATATTTCGTTTTCTCTCCCTTCCTCTCTCTCTCTCTCTCTCTCTTTGTATATCCTCGGCGCGTTTCTCTTGGTTAATATCGATTAGTCGAGACCGAGGACGAAAGCAGATGAAACGGTAGTCGTGACGCGTACGAACCGCGGAATCGTTTCTCGATTAGTCGCAGAGTAGACCGTTTCGATGGTTGGGCCGTGCGAGTAATGGAAACTGTTACCGGTTTCCGGCAACGTATTTGAAGTATCGAGCGCGCGTTTGATGTATTTTTTGCTTTACATATCGGAGATTTCGTTCGTTTATCCGATATTCCATGGAATCGTCTCATCTGGTCTCGGTGTCTCGTTTTGTTTCGTTATCCCGGCTGTTCGGTCTTCTGCGGTTCGCGAATGTTACGTAACTGAACGTTGTTGCGTTTTGGAAAAGGCCGGTGAACGTTTTTCCATCCACAAAGGGGAAGAAGCAACGGGAAAAGGAAGAGACGCAGGTAATGCGAAGGGTGGGAACGGCCAGGCAAAAACGATTCGGGTTCTCGCGTCGCACGATAAACGAGGCAGCGGTTGCCGAGAATCGTGCGAGCTACGTGTTCGTCCGTAGGTATGCGCTTTAACGTGATTACAATGATGCCCGGCACGAAGGAAGGAACGGGCCACTGTCGCGTGACAAGCTTCCAACCTGGCGAACAACAATTACGGTAATTGATCAACATCCGCGATCCAAGCGTAGCGTCGCGAATCGCATCAATTTGCTAATCGAGTGCTTTCCTCTCGTTCATCGTTCTCCCGTCGGGGAATTAAAAAAAAAGGTCCCTCGGAGGATTCTCCGTTCGCGTCCCATCTTCGAAAACCGGAAATCTTTTAGCTCGGATAATTCCACGGAATCGAACGTCCGGAAGATTTTACAAGCAAACGTGGTTTCTTCGTCTCTTCCGCCCTTCGTCTTTTTCCTCGGATCGTTTCCTTCGTCGTAACGAGATCGAATCGACCTCCACTCTGCCGTTCTTCTTCGGTGATCGTCGTTCGTCAACACCAATACCGTTCGCGTTCCGCTATCGGAATCGCCGATAAAATCGCGAAGCGCAACAGGCTATTCCGCTGGAGCGCGAGCTGGAGTGCAACGCGATAATTAATATTTGTAAAGTAATTAAACTGGCACGTTTGTGTTGGAGTGGAGCGACGATGTCTGGAGTCACCGTGGCGCGATACGTCCTGCTTTTCGGATTCGCTGGCTGCCTCGCGTAATAGCATCGACCGTATCCGGCGGAACGATCGCGGATAACGCGCGACGGCGAAACTCGCTCGTTGGAAAACTCGTCGACTAATACGCGGTACTTTCATCCTCGAATTGGACCGTATCTATTATACACACTCTGCTTGCGGCGATCGTCTCGATAACAAAGCAGCGAGAAGACCAGCTTACGTTTACCAGCGATTAAATTTTATCCGCGTCGTATTTTATTCCTCCTCTGGCATTCCTAGATGGCTGGATGCAACGTCGTTTCTCTTATTGTCGTGCGCGTCTAGCCTCGTGTCTCGATCGTAATCGTCTTTCGGAATTTACCCCGTCGGCTTCACCCCTTTCCTCTCTGCCATTCTCTCAACTCGTTAAATTGCGTCGCAACGGAGAGTCGGTCGATTACGTTTCAACGTAGGCGTTCTATATCGTCGAGTCAACGACGAGAAGAGTACGATAAGGTAGTTGCACGCCGCGTTACCGTTAGATACCGTGCACCGTCGTATGGAATACGTCGATGCTCCGCTGTAGGATGTTGTATCGCGACGTCGTTTGTACAGTCTGTTGGCCAACTAGCCGGTTACTCGGTTGCTCGGTTGCTCGGTTGCTCGATCGTTGCACCATCGCGAAGCGACACGGTCGCATAGTGACATCGTTGCATAGCCGACGTACCCAAGGGGGGCATCCGGTAGGGAGGGGTTGCTCGGCTTCCGCTTGCATTGGCACCGGTGCTGCTGTCGCCATCGCCGTCACCGTCGCCGCCGTGGAGGTAGCTCCCTAGTTGCCAGCTGCAGCTACCGGAAAAGGGATTGCCGCATTCGAGCGTAGGTGCACAATTTGGAGGGCTGCGTCGTGGGATTGATTTGCATCCTCCGGCTCATTTGCCGGGTCGTGTCCTGCGGGAACTCCCCCTTCGCCTCCCCTCGGATTTCCAAGCTCGCGCGCTCTCACGCTCCGCCTTTCCATTTTCTTTTCTCTTTGTGGCGGCTTTCCCAGCTTTCCCTCCTTTCTATATAGATCCTACCAATTTTCTCTTCCGTCGTATCTGCTTCTTTCCCTTCTTTCCACCCTCTTCCTCTCTTCCCTTTGCTTTCCCTTTCTCCGAGACCTTGCCTCGTACACGGCAAAGCGGAAATCTTTTGTTTCGACTCGATTCCATCCGATTCGATTCGATTCGTCGAGTATGCACGTGCGCGCACGGTATCCGCTCGTCAACGAGCTACAGCGACGGTGCAGAGGACCGCGCGCCAGGCAAATTTCTCTGTTCTTTGATCAAATTATCGCGTGTCGGATTTGCGAGTCGCGGTAGAACGCGCAAGAGGGAAGCTGCTTTATATCCACCGGGCACCCCATTGTTCGCAGCGGAGAGAGATTCGGTGCAGCAGCGGAAGGGCTGTAGCTTCGACGTATCGCGACTGTACGTCGTATCCTGTATGCGCGTAAAAGCGTTCTTGACGTTGGAAAATTGCCCAACTATCTTCGGTCCGTCGTCGCTCTATCATCTCGTTCGATGGCCCAGACGGAGCTCGGAGAAAGCGTTTTTCCGCCTTCGACTACCATTCGCCGGCCGTTCGAAGAAGTTGCGCAAAGTTGGAAGATTTGTAACGAAGAGAAGTCGATCGTTCTTCTGTTCGAGAAGTTACGCGTCTCGAGAAAGGAGTGCGTCTCGGCGTAGAACGTCGCAAACGACAGTCCATCGCACACTCGGTCTTCGGACTTTGCTTCCGATTCGAAGATTCCGTTGAACGCTTGCGAAGCGTTAGTCGCGCTCGGAAGGATTCGCTCGCGATCTCCGTGGCGATGAAATTTCCCGGAATTTCGACGGGTGCCAGCAAGAAGACGAGGAGGGACGGCTGCTCGCGCGCCAAAATCACGAAGGAACTTGGTCGTTGGTCTCCGCGCCCCGTTAAAGCCGCTCGGAATGCCGTTTGGAGCGGGACGAAACAGGCGAACCGGAATTGAACAGGACAGAGAACGGAACGGAGAATGAAACGAGGTGAGCTGAAACGGGTTGCCGGAACGAGACAGGACGGAGCGAGGTTAGGAGCGGGATACGGAGAAGAGAAGAGGCGACGCGCCGGATAAACCAACAACCGAGCGCTCGCTGGGGACGGTAAACTAATTTGCAATTTATACCTACGTCGGAAAACGATCCCCGTCTCTTTGCTGCGTCATGCTGCCGTCCTGGCGCTCCACTGGCACCCAATATCAAAGAACTTCGTGTACATGCTCGTCGTCCAACTCTTTCCTTTTTCCGCGAGAGAATGTCGCTTCTGTCGAGAAAAACGGTACGTCGACCCGGATAATCGAGGATACCGAGCCAAACAAACGACGCCTTCTCGCCCTCCCTCCCCCCTCTTCGCTTTCATCCTCTCGCCCGTTTCCTCGCCTATCGCTCGACCAAGCGACGATCGTTTCCATCGAATACGACTCTGCGACTCTGGACACGACCTACCGACTCCTAGCGTCCTCTGAATAAATCACATCGATTTTAAGAGTGTACGAGAAGATGCCGAGTACCGCGCAACACTCCGAGCGAAATGTCAATTTAGCTTCGAAGCTCGTTAATTACGCAAATCGTCTCGTTGCCGTTCTCGCCTTGCCGCTCCACCTTCTTTTCCTTCCATTTTTCAAACGACTTTCGGCAAGTCCTATCCTCGACGAGCCTCCCAAGACGTCCGAGAATAAACAGGACATCGACCGTATTTATCGTCGAGAACGTCGCGCCAGCCTCACTTTATAAAACTCGATGCCGATCGTCGTACCGTGGCTGCTTGAAAATCGAGAAACGAGGGACGAGAGGAAAACGATACCGCCGCTGTTTCGTTCGCTCTTCCGGCCTATGAACCAGCTATCGCGAGCCTTATTCCAGAAGCGAAGGAGAATGAGATTAGAATACGAATGGCTGGTTGTTTTGGCAGGACTATGAGGAACGAGGACGTGGAGAAAAGTGCCGCGCGAACGTGTCACGTTCCACCGTTTGAAAGAAACCGAACGGAAGGAAACGACAACTGAACGTAAGAACGAAGAGTCGGAAAGAGTACGTTCGTTTGGCTGGTAGATACCTGGGAAAAATGGAAAGTCGCGAGACTTTGGACCTTCGGTCGTAAAGTGAAAAGACGGCGACCTGCTACGCCAAGGTCCTCTCACACCTTCTCCTCGTTCCGAATTTCTCGACGTATAGAGCGGAGCTCAGACTCCGATTACACAGATCTCACGTGCCTTTTGCTATCTCGTTGCCATGTCGATACAACGGTACAGCACCAAGATAATAACGTTCGATCGTCTACCGATGCTACTTGCGTATCGGTGTTGTCCACTTACAAAATTAAAATCTAAAAAAAGCAACGGCGTGTCTCGTACACACAGCGTACGACACGTTTCTGGCAACTGGGTCAAGCTATAACTTTAAAGCGGTAGAAAATAGATGAATATTTTATCGGATAAGCTGAAATTGTTCCGAGTGGCGCGTCGCGCGGTACGTGCGTCTTCTTCGCAAGCGAAATCGTTTCAAGATTGCAGCGTCAATGCTAAAAAAAGAAGCGATACGCAACAGTATTTATTATTAGGCTAGTAGGATTAGTTAGATACACGACGATCTTTGCTTCGTTACGTATTTTGCGACGAGAAGACGACGACGAAAACACGCCGATCTTTGTCTCTTCCGACGATAATCTGTGCCTCGACGTCAAAAGCAACGAGGCGATATTTTTAATCTCTAGGGCGGCTAAATCGATCGATCAAAATACAAGAATAACGAAAAAGTTTCAATTCAATATCGCAACGTTACGCCGGTTCGCTGTTCTCAAGTTATTGAGTTTCAAAACGTAATAGTTCGATAGAGTTTGTTCGAGGATACGTGCCAGCGGCGCGCAGGATATGCCACTCCGACTGACGAATTTTGCTTCTCAACTTTATAATTCGATAACGCACGACCGATTCGCGAATTCGAACAACTCCATTCGACAACCTGCGCTCCACTCGCGTTGCGACTTTCTTCTCCGTTTCTCGTCCTTCTCCTCGCCATTCCATCACGCTTAGATAGATTTTCCGATGCGTCCGAGATACAATCGATAACGCGTTGATATTATACGACGCGAGCATTGGTCCCAAGAAAAATAACGCTTAAGACCAAAATTGGAAAAATCTCTATCTTGCGCACGGCTTCGTGTTCTGTGAATTAATCTTGGGATTTTGCTCGGCAGCTGGCTGGCTACGCGGATGGGATCAACGCGTTGATTCGATCGATCGGTTTTCGCGATCAACGTTGCAATTTGGTTCGACGCGTCCGTCTCGCTGGATATTATCGAGCGATCTCGCGGTCTAGGTCGACGACACGTTCGCGAAAATCGATTTTCCCTGGAAATCAAAGTCGACTCGGCAATTGCTCGCTGTTTCTTACATTGCTCGTGAAAACAAGTACCCACTAGAAATGCAGGCGCGCGCGATATCCAACGGTCGACCTTATTTTCTTCGTGAAAAGTCGTTGAGTCCGCGCCACTAATTAGAATGCATATTCCGACTAGCCGTAATTGTAGGACGCGCAATGCTGGCACCATAATTTCATTACGTCTTAATTAACATGGTGGCACGCGCGCGGAGCTTAAGGATCCACGAAATATCATCGAGGACACGTTACACGGTTAATCCACGACCACGGTCGTTGGTTCCATCTTTTCCAAAGTGTATTTCGATGTTCCGCGTGACTTTTAACGATTATTTAAGTCGTGTTACGACAAAGGCTTTGGCGATACGATCGAGAAGGTGACGGATGTACGCTCTTGTCTGTGAGTCACCTGACACTCGCTAGTTTCCAGCGCGAGCCTTAACGAGACAAGTTTTAGTAAAATACGTGTAATAAATCTTGAAAACTTTCAACAGATTCTCGGATAATTCAATGTTTCTTACAACATACGCGATTAACGAGCGTTAGCTTCGTTTTACGACAACCCGCGTGAAAGATCGAATCGAAGCTGTAGAATTTTTCTTGTACGAAAACTCGTTTCCGAGTAAGTCGGTGTTCGGGATTCCTGGAGTTACACGCGCGCTGTACTCGAATACGACGTAGACAAATTTTTCTCTCATATTCCGTTTAAACCTTCAGCTTTTGTCATTTTGTCAATGTCCAGGGCAAAAGTAGGACAAAAAGTAAATGATTTTTCAGAATTTTAATACTAATAAATAAAATTATCGCGTGATATATACGTTTGTGTCTCATTTCTCATTCCTTGGTATTCGATAAATACGAACAGTGTTTCAAGCAAGCATTACATCGACACGTGTCGTATGTATGCAGGCGTAACGCGCGAGATCACGTGTAAATGTACTTGTATTCGACAGATTTTTATTATCGATTTATTCCGAAATAATGCTACGATAAAATGTCACTCCACATTTTCGATTTATTTTTTCATGTAGATTTATACCACTCTTTCGTGTTTTAGTACGAGCCCGAAAACAATCCGTATAAATCAACAGAGAAATTAATACGAATGATCGATATTTCTACCGTATTCTATCTATCGTATCGAAAACAAGCCAGATATCATGCTAATTTACATGTAGCGCATTACCGTTCGAGTTAAAAGTATTTACCAGTACTATCGCGCAACATTAATTCGCAAGTAATGGAATAACGTATTTCGGTACGATACGCGTATTTTCAAGCTTGCGGATAACGTATTAAAGTGGCCGAAACTTTGTACGATTATTATTCCAAAGTTCTTCGTATCTTCGCTATGGTAATAAGCTCGCGGGAAACGGGAAACGGGAAACTCTCTTCTTTAAAACGATTTCAGTTTTATACTGTTACGACTTTCCATTCCTGAGATATCATCGTTTAAAGCGGAGCATAATGTTTAACGTTTTAATATCGTCTTCCTATTTCCGCGATCGAATCTCACACGCTCACCTACAGTTACTGACCTACCTCACAGGCTCCAACGTCTCACGGGATGGTCAGCGGCACGTTGAGTCGACGACGTTGTTTTTACTATTACGATCACGCGCACGCATTCTCCGCGATGAAACAGATACCATTCGCTATTTCTCGTAATTTAGAGCTTTCAGGTTTTATATCTCGAGAACCGATCGAGTTGTTAATCCGACGCGATTACAAATACGAAATCACACCACGAAATTTATCCGTTCGTCGCTGTTCTTCGATACTCGCGTGTTATACCGCGCGTTATGCTATTCCGTATGACTTTATTAAAGCTACGAAAACAACCCTCTGTTCGAAACTCTGTCCTATCAACGACTCTATGATATTTAAAACTCCCATGGAAAGCTTTATGCCGGAGGGTTTTAAAGCCTCGTGCCCTACGTCGCGTTACTCCTTCGGCGCGTTCCGTCTCTGCGAGGGGAATAGATGTCGTCTGGTATGGGAATGAACGGCAGTTTGGTCAACTCTGCGGAAGTTTCGCAGGGTTTAGTTGGCTGTAGTAACCGTTAAGGCGCGTACTCACCAGTAAACATGTTTGCAAACATTTTACGACCATTCTACGATTTTCTCACAAACGCTTCTTGTATCAACCGACTCTCGACCAGTTCTAAAATCTATAGTCGACGTTCGCCTAATGATTCGTTCGGCGCTATTCACGCGACTGTCGTCTTCTCGAATCTCTGATTGATCGCGCACTGAAAATACTGCGATTTGGAAAAAGTCGAAAGACACCAGCTATCGGTATGGGCATTTGTTCGTATGTCCGAAGCTTCGAGCTAGATTTTATAAACGACGAAACAAAGATAAGGAGAAAGAAACGATCGAGCAACACCGATAGCCAAGTACTCGGATGCCTTGCATCGTCTTCGCCTATGAATCGTGGTTAATGGAGATTCGTTAACAGAGATTCGCCGAGACCCGTCGTTTCCTACCGGAAGAAACTTTGATTCCGCGCTAACTACTGGACTCGCGCAATTACCGGCCATACGACAACCCCGACGAAGATGGGGAGAACGGACCGCTACGATGATCGACGCAGGGACGCTACAGGCTGCGCGCTCCAACTCGCGTTCACTGGAGGGCGAAACGTTCGTTCGAGTTAGGCGTTCGAATTCGTGTTCCAGGCAATAGACAACGGAACGAAAGTTCTGCATAGTTGGAAGCAACTCGGCCCTTATTCAACGAGAAGCTCTCGTGGCTGTGGACGAAATCTGCAAGATTGCCGTGTAACCGGAAGAGGAAATGGCACAGGGACGTCACGAAGCAGACGCGCAAGGAAGAGGCCAGGGTTCCGCGAACGAATTCGAAAGAGATCTCGCGGGAGTCGAAGATTGTACGCGCTCGGATGCCTCGGGAAGCATCTTTTTCAGGCGAGAAACCCAACAGAGGTAAGAGGAAGCTTTGCCGCTCGGATTGCGGTCTACGATATTGCGAGTATAAATAAATAAAGCGCGAGGAGAGAGCGGAAAGATATCGAGATTCCTAGCTCCAAGGGATTACCGATCCATCCTCTTCTTCTCGTCTTATTTTTAATCTTATTTACCGTCTCGCTCGGACGCTAAGCGTAAACTCGATACGTTATTGGCTGGCATCTTATCGATGTCTTTACGAGTTCTTCTCGTCTGGTTTCCCTTGCTGTAAATAAGAGAGAAAAATCGCTCGACCCGTCTTCGCGTTTCTTCGTTGCGGTTCCCACTCGTATCGGACCGCTCGATCGCTCGCGTCCGACTGCAACGGCTTTGTCGTTTTCCAGGGATTTATTCGCTGGATGACCGCGAATCGATTTATCTCGCGTGCATTGAACGCGTGCTGAAAACGTCGCCAGCAAAGTAGAATCGTTATGGGAGACTGGCGCGCGACGACGCCACGTCGAGTCAGACGAAAAATGCCGACGGTTCCTACGACGCCATCGTTCGCAGGCGTTACGACACCTGTTAGCCTCGCGCACAACGTACTTAGCGAACGCGACGCTGCACGGAAAGCAATATTTTCCAATTAATAACGTCAGCTTCCTCGTTGCTCGTATTCGTATGTCAGCCGTTTCTGTCTCTTCGAACGTCCCGACATTTACGAACAACGACGTACGCGTTTGCTTCGGCGATGATTTCGCGCCCGTCGTTCCCGAATGTGGCATCGTTCTGTACGATCGATCGTCGTCGGTCGATCGAAAAAAAGAGACGCGGAAGGACCAGCGAGAATCTCTTTGAAAACGACGCCGCTCGACGACGTTGCACCACGTCCGAGTACTCTTACCTGCACTCGAGAAGCGCACTCTGGCCCCTAAAGGAGTACGGCGGGACGCTTATGTAAAGCAGCTTCAGCCCAGTCACTGTAACAGAAAGAGGAAACAAACTTTTTGTATTTTTTTTAGACACCGACGGCAGCCATATCTCTCCCTTTGGTCTTCTAACTTTCGAGAAACGGGGTGCGAGGACTAGCCGAAAGTTAAAGAAGCGCGAGATCTAGCGCATGCTTGCTAGCTGGCAACGGCGTCTTTGTGACCGTTGCCGAGGATCTCTTTCGATTCAAATGCCGCCGAACGCTTGACCTACTGAGAAGCGCACAATGAAAGCATTAAAACTGAACGCCACTCTGTCCCGAATGACATTCCTATGATAAAATCTCGCTGCGACCTTCGAGTCGACCCGTGTTCGACTTGACTCCAGCCACCGACCATTACTTAGTACAAGGAAGAAAAGCTTGGAAAGTTGTGGCTCGATCGAATGACCAAGAGGCGGGGTACGGAGGACGCGAGTGGATTGTACTAGATGTTCAAACAATGCTCCGCAAACTCCATTGTACCGTCCTTTGTGGCCGCTTTCCTTTCTTTCTTCTTCGCTTTCCCATGGTCCTCCCTACTAGAGAGGTACCCGGAAGAAATTCCATCGGATCCGGTTGCCGCGAACAAACGACAAACGACACGTAACGATAAATATAAATAAGTAGGTAAATATAGAAAGAAAGCAGGTGGTACGTGTGGCGAATCCGATTGGTAGAGTGGCCGGTACAGCGGAGTCACTAAGCTACCGAGCAGAACCGAGAGAACGAGACCCTGTCTAGCGCTCGGTGCTCGGTTCAAAGGGGTTTGCGTTTAATTAAGCTCGTGCGATATTTTACGACGGTGACGGTACGCGTGGCTATTCCACGGAGGGCCGGCCTTTCTCTGCATCGTAAAATATACCGTCCGTAATGTATCGTTACGCGAGCAGTGCACAGAGACCGGCAGGTGAGTTTGCTTGAATTATTTCCTTCGGAGAGACGCAATTTTTCGTACGTCCTAACGTGATTTCGAGGCGAGCCTCGACCGAGTACGACTCTCCGTTTCGTCCCATCGCGTTTTCTTTTTTTCTTTTTTTTTTCGCTTCTTTCCTTCTTTTTCTCTTTTTTTTTCTTTTTTTTTTTGGAAGCGGAATTTCTACACAACGTAACTTCGGCCCGCGAGTCCTGGACGTTTCGCGTACGTGGCTGGCTTATAAGTTACCGTGCTGGAAAGAACCATTCCCAGTGGTTAATCTCTTCCACGGTCGTACCGCTTAATCCACCACTCACGAACCAAGATACATTGTCCTTCTAATTACCCGGACTATGATCTTAATGGACTTGGAAATGCCAAGCGCGTCAGTTCCGTGTGCAAATTACGTAAACGTGGAAGGACTCTTTAATCGCGATGGTACGCGTTACGACGCGCGACTGGCCAACGCGAAAAAGCCGACACACGGCCGTGTTTTAAATGCGAATTGCAAATTATCGCCGTTGGGCTGCATAGGGACTCGCCATTCGGTCCTCGCGCTTCAAAGGTATATAGCATGCAGCGTACTCGTTTGGGACTGGCAATGGGGCTGTATCGATTTGCATCTCACCGCTTGTTTTATCCTTCCAGTTATACTTCGATCAGCCGTTTCGTCGATGAAAACTTCGACTTAAGCTTCTATGTGAAACCTCGTGTCTCGCGTGCTCGCACGTTCCCTTCAACGCCGATACTTTTTAACGCATAGACGGGTTTCGATTACGTGTCGTTATCTCGAGTTAACAACTACGTTGCTCGTGTATACGCGTTTCCAATGGTTCGTCGAGCGCGATTCCATTGATGAAAAATCGATCGATGAGAACCGTGAGAAAGGCAACGATGACGTTTGCCCGAAGAAATTCGATTAGGCGCAAATTTGATATCCGTGCATTAACGAACGTTAAATTAGTTTTCGAATGAATCGCGACTCGCTGCGAATCGATAACTCCGCGCACAGAATCGCCGGTTTGACGTCTCGTTTTGGCTTTGCGGGGTCCGGTTTGGAGAGGTTCGTAGCCACGACAATAACGTCGCTTACGGTGTACGTAACGGAATCGTCCATTGAATTAGAGTGCCCGCGGCGTTTCGAGACAAGCGAGTTCGGGTCCGGACTACTCAGCTTTTGGCCGAACGATCGTGACGCGGGTCACAAGTGCACCCTATCGGCCGCCTCGATTCGCTTTCTCCGCGTTCAGGAATTAATTGCACGCCGGTTCGACTTTGAATAGCCACTCCAAGTCGGCTCTCCACCAAACTCGCCGCTTTCTCTACGCGAACGCGTCCTGTGCCTTCTGTTCCTCTACGTCAGGTACTTGGTCGTCAACGATGCTATCTGCACGATGGTATGTACGGTCCGGTCGAACAGCGTATACGAACGGGCATAAGGCGATTATTTATGGAAAAGTAAAAACGAAACGTAGAATGCGTCTTTGTTCTACGAGCGTTTCTCTTGGTCGTCGCGGCAAAAAAACGAGTCACGAAAATCCTTGCCGATCGTTACTGCACGATCGACGTTAAAATTCGTTAGGAGCGATTCTTCGTTAATTTTGCGCAAATTAATCTAACGAGCTTTCTTCGCAGCGTTGATTCGGTATCGGCCAGGATTCCAATTAAAGCCACAGAGAACCGCTAGTTTCGACGGACCCTTCTCGAATTCTTCCGACCAAATCCGCCAAAGTGAAATTAACGAAGAGCTGTTTAGCTGGCGTTTACCGCTGTACTTCCTAATGTCCGCAAATGCTATCCGTGATGAAATGTCCGAGGCGGAATTCCGGTAACGCGATACGGTCGTTGCTACCAGAAGCAATACCACGAAAATACCAGAATTTTCATTATTACCGTTCTATTACCTCTTATTTTCTATTTGGTTTACCCTCGTGCGATAGGCGATCGATGTTTCAAAACTTATTTATCCACCCGACGATCGATAATTCTCAAGCCGTGTGACAAATATAGGATGGATTCTCAGCTAGTCTTAATGCGAATTCCTATAGTCCAGTGTAGTCCAGTTTTCAAACAATCACCAACGTTTTATGGCATGTTGAACGTTCCATCAAAGTTCTCTTTGGTAGATTTCCTATAACCCGTGTATAGCTGGTTTCGATGGTTGAACCAGAAAAATGCTTCGAACGCAAGTCCGCTGGTATCAAACGGAGAACGTACTCGTGTTAAAAAAGCTTTCAACAGTAGTGTTTTCTCGCAAAAAAAAAAAACAGGTCTTTTGTATTTTTCAAATCATATTCTTAAATTAGAAAAAAGAGCGATCTTTTGACGCGAAATTTACGAAAATTTATTTACTACGAATAAATGAAAGATGCAGAGAGAACGATAGAGTTTGAAGATGATTAAATCAAGAAGCAACCTAGTACGGTATACGCATACTTGCAAAAAAATTGCAAAAATAATTTCCTGCGGAACGAAGCGCCACGTGAAAAAGTTTCGTTCTATATTTTCGATTTGTTTTTTCGCGTCGTATCGCTCCCCTGTCGATTACTCGAACGCTCTACACGCACATATTCGAGTGCAAGAATGCGAATTTCAAATAGCCGGTTTATCCCAAAAGAACAAAAGACTTTGCATTTTATCTGTGAACTATGTTCATCGTCATCTCGTCAAAACGGGACAACGTCGCCTCGTTTTGACGACGTGCGTCACGATTTCCCGTTGGATGCGCTAAATGCGCACCACTAGCTTTCTTTTCTTCTTTTTCAAACATCGGACCAGCGTGTGCAGCGATACGATCGTATCCCGCGTCTATGTACGAGATGTTTTGTCCGTCTCTAGTGCTCCGGTTAGAGAAGATCCGTCCTCGAATTCCGCCTCGATTCGTCGAAATCGTAAAAGCCAATTTACCTGTGATTCAAGGCAAGCAAGATTAATTGGCACGGTAACGAGAGAGCGATACTCATTGAGTTCCGTTTTTCGTCCGGAAACGCACCGGGCTCTATTCCGATTTCCGTCGTCGCACAATATCGTCACGAGCTGAAAAATTCGCGGTCGGCGGAGAATGGTGAAACGCAGCAACCGCCATACAAAGATAGTTCTCCCTTAGACGTTTTTTACTCTGCTTCCGAATGCTCGCCGCGAAAAGGCTTACGGTTAAAAGCGTTTTATTCGCATAGACGCGCGTAATTCGCTCTCCCCTCTCGGTCAATTCGTAACGAGTTACGATTCACGAGCCATTTTTTATACGTCGAGCGTGTAATTGTATGCGCCAGTTGGTGAATCATTTTCTTTTTCTTTTTTTCCTTCTTCTGCGTTTTTTTTTTTTTTTTTTTTTTTTTTAAAAAAAAAAAAAAAAAAAAAAAAATTAAAAACA